CTTTCCTGCTCTTGGCTGAGCTTTAAGTGATAGCTGTACTGGGAATTTTTATGTTACCAGGGTATAAAGTGGCACTTGAGCTAAAATAAACAACTAAGCAATACATCTTGTGGTGGACAGGTCTACTATTAGAGGATAGGAATATACTGTTCATATCAATGAGTTCTTGAAGGATTTCAAGTACACTGCAATTGCTCTAGTTTGGTTTTTTAAAGCACATTGCTGAATACAGATGTTCAGAACACTGAGTCTTTATCAGTTTAGGAAGTTGGTTATCTCAGTTAGGGGAATTTTTTTTACCAACAGAAGAAGCCAGCATAGCAGATGTGTGGGTTGAACGGCATAGCTTGGTTTAAGCAGCAATGTTAATCTTATATTTTGCAGTACTGTGTACCCAAATATGTGCAAGGGAAAATACAGTCCACAAACTGTCCTGAGGTTCTATCACATCAGCAAAACTGAGTATTCTTTATAAGAACAGAGTGCCTTGCTCTGATTTTCAGCTCTAATCTCCCTCTACAGACAAACTTCAGCAAGTGAAGTATAGTTCTCATTCAGTCCAGACTGTATTTTAGATGGCTGTGCAGAGATCTCTCCAGTGAAGGGATTCAGTTCTACAAGGAAATAAAGTGAGGCCATCTGAAACTTGACCTGTTTGCCCACAGTCCCTAAAGAACCAGGAAAACACAACTTCTCTTTAATGAAGGTGAAGTCATTTGCATGCTTATGGAAAGGATGTTGGCTTACCTCTCCTAGTGACTGTCCTGGTAGTAACTGGGTCCCATTAGCTCTGCTGAACGTCTCAGTGTGTTGCTGTGGGCTTTTTTTGTGAGGTAAGACTTTGCCTGATGCTTACTGACTGCCCTACAGACACTCCTTATGCCTCTTCCTGCCACTTGGGCAGCTAACTCGGAGGTTCTTTTGAAAGTTCAGAGCTAAATCTAACCCTATCCAATTCCCAGCAGAAATTAAGTTACCAGTCTAGGAAAAAACTACCTTATTTTGTTAATGCATATTAAACTAAGAAGTCTATATAATCTAGGTAGTTTAGGCAATGTCACTGATGACACACATACAGAGGCATTAAAATACCTTTTTATAATAGTAAGAAATACCAAAAATTACAAAATAGTGATACATGTTTCAAAGAGTAGTGAAACAGGCTTAAAAGTCAATGACATATGACAGCCTCTGGCCATCATTCTGCATTTACTGATTAAGTTTTCTATTTATTTCCAAGTTACTATTACTGCTGAAGAGGCTTTAATAATAAAGTCCACATTGAATCTGGTTAAATAAACAGGATGGCACATTTCACTAATTAATTGGAGAAAGCTAAAAAAAGATTAAGCAAAAGCAATCAGAGTTTTTGAAAAGTCTTGGTATAATCTTCAAAGCACCATTTAACATAAACTGTGTTTCTTTTACAACTTGCTCATTTACTTGTAGCAAATACAAAAGTAATGGCTGTCAAATTTTTTGAGCTAATCTGGAATACAGAGTCATCAAGTGAAGTCATGTATGCTCTGCATGACTTGTGGATGCAGTGGAGAGAATTCTTAAAGCAGAAAAGTAACTTGGCAAAGTGCCTGCTTTAAACTCCTCAGTGCATTCTTCTTATTGTTGAAAGAGTTTTTCAGACCCACAAATTATAAGGCTATGGAATACACGTTTGCATCATTTTATATAAACCACTGTAATTCTAGACACCAAACTACAGATTGACCTAAAGCATTAAAGAGAATGTAGGACATAAGAGCTGAATGACAACCCATTTACATGCTGCTTTATTCCTGAAGACCACTCTTCTCACACATCATGTATTTTATGCTGAATTTAGAGGCACAGTCGTGTCCATTGTGTTACATTTGTCTAACAAAACAAAATAATTGATCCAGATATCAGGCCTATACAGTTTGGGAGAAACAAAATAGAATGGAAAGAAAAGGCAGAAAAAGCTTTATTACTTGCAAACAAAACAGCAATAGCATATAGGTACTCTGAATGACATTGTTACTGATATGGTTTCTTGGAAGTGCATAAAATAAATGCTACCAATACAGTAGAGGTGTTCTGCAGTGGAGGATGTGCACCTGAACAAATAGCTGAGGAGGAACAAGGAAGTTCTGTATGTCTGAAACAAAAGATATTCGTGTGTTGCAGTGAGACTTCATATTGGAACAGTAAACAGTTGCTTTTGTGTACCTAGAAAAAGCTGTGCCCAACAGAAGTCTTTAACACTGGGAAGACATTGAGGCAGAGCTCCACTGAGGCTCAAAAGCCTGCCTGAGGTGGGGCCCCTGGTACCACACCTGTGATATCCCACATATTCTGATTTCAAAGATGCTGGCTAAGACAAGAGTAGAGATAGGATGAAGAGACACCTTGCTATGTCTTTTTGTCAAAAGTTCCTTTGCTATATTCAGCCACAGGAAGGCTTGAATAAAAAAGTTGGTGACTGACTAGTATGCAAACTATGAGTTACAAATTAAGAATCCCAATGAATTAATACATAGCATTAATTTTCTTTTTCAAAGAGAAAACAAAACACCCCAAAAATCCTCCAACAATAGCAGGGGGAAAAAAAATCTACACACACACCAGACCCCCCCCTTTCCAATCCAGCAGTATGCTGTCACTATGAGACCAGCAGCTAAAATTTAATTTTTCCAGAGATAGTCTGTTAAAGAACATGGCTGTTAGCATAGCATATTTCAACCTGACTATTAAGAAATAAGTGTTCCTACCAGAAGGCTTTAAATTCACTTATTTCCACACAGTTCAACCTGTTCCTTGCTAGAATCCTATTATGTTTTTCCAATGAGGTGTTAAGACAACTGCTCCGGCTTACTATTTATGGAGCCAGTGACTTAAAATATACTGTGAAGTAAGTGGCTATTCCTTTAATCTGTGACCTTAAAATTCAACAGAGTTGATGTTTTGTTGTCCTTATGTACTGAACTGCCCATCAGTTGCTGATCCAATCTGGCTGGTGTTGTAGCCTGTGCTCCCATTGCTGCTCAATATTGTGGCAGCATAGCTCAGTGAATTTACCTACATTGAATTTTCTGTCACCCAGTGTCTTCCTCCATCAACAGCCACACTGTGGGGCTATTAATACTATTTCTTGTTAAAAGTGATATAGATTAAGCTGAGAATGATTAGGAAGAATGGTGGGGACAGGGAAAGAGAGCAGAAGACTAATGATGACAGATGAAATGGAACTCTTCCAGACACAGAAAACTTAACAGTGGCCAAAAATGGAAAAAAAACCAAATTCCTCTGCAGAATTGCCTCCCATCAGACATTGCAGAATAGCCTGAGACAAGTTATGCCCAGAAGCTCAAAGCCTGTGGGCATACAAGGAGGCCCTCTCTCTTAACTTCACATCATGATACTTTGCTTCTCTTTCTTTGCAGCCTCTATTTCTGCTTCCTAACAATATTGCTGTCTTGTAGCCCGTTAAAAATGGAAAAAGAGAAAGCAACGAAGTGATAATCAGTAGAAAACATCAGGAAGCAGACCTGTTCCGTTCAGGATGGAGTCATGACCTCTGTAAATGCAAAGCTATCAAACAGAACTTTAGATTACTTAGAAACACATCATTAGTCCTTGTTGCACTGGGACTTAGGTTATTGGGGAAAAGTCATTAGTTTCTTTTCACATTCTCTGGAGAATTTCCAAAACCTAGCCCTTGCATTTCCTCAGGTTGTTCATATGTAATTTCATATTTCAGCCCTTTTTAGCTGGCACAGTATGTGCTGTTCCAGGCTTAAATTCCTAATTACAGTAGCCTGTTAAGGCAAAGCAGTCAGGTACTCAGCTGTCATGGCTTCTGCTTCTAAGTGGAATTAGACAATACTTAAATCCACACCAGCCCTCACTGAGGGTATAAAGTCTTCGGAAGACATTGTAATTCAGGGAGCTTGTGTACACAGCCTGCTCGTACTGCAACAATCTAAGAGCTCTACTATGTGTGAAACCGTTACAATTTCACTTCAAACATTGCATTAAAAATACCCTGACCTTTAAAGGGTGTTCAGTGGTGGTATTTAGTAGTCTTTTGATAAAGCCTAAACTTAGTTCTTTACATCACAGCAGCTTGCTGGCTAACTCTTGAAATGACCTTCAGAAGTACCCATTGTGTATTTTCTTTCCTGAGTATGGAGTTGGGAACCACAGGTCTTCTTCAAAACACCACAGTGTTTTGTTGATTCAGTCATACTGTAGTCTATGGTTTCATTATCTTACCTCTTTGCAGGGCCAGTGTGCAAGCCACCTATTTTATCCTTAAAAACAAGTAAGCACAAAGCAAAAGTTAACTTCACTTAAAAATGACACAAAATTCAACTTTTCCTTGGTGTGCTGTTTACCTAGAGCTCCTCCTAATTCCTTCCTAGGAGAGTGTTGCCTTCTCATGTTGGACAGCTCTATCTACATTGCATGAGCCTTTTTCCCAGGAGGCTTGATTTCTAAGGTTGCTGTTACATGGTTCTTTGAGAGGCTGTAATTCCCAGACATCCTACAAGACCCTCAGCTTTTAGGCATGCTCTTTTGGTCCCCTTCACACCTTTTCCTTTTTATGTTTTGTTTCTAAGACAAACCTATTCTTGTAGACTAAAAAAACAATTATTTTTTGATTGTGGTTCAACACCAAGGAAATCAGATTTTTTAAAAATAATAACTAATAATACCCTGTGTGCAAATGAAAGATTCATAATATTCATGTCTCCTGATGTCAGGAAATAATTTTCTTATGGCATTGTTGCATATGCCTGTCTTTTAAAACATTTAATTTTACTAAATTATCTATGAGCCTGGAGTTGGGAAAGCTAAAGTTTGTTCAGCTTTGAACAGAAAAAGATATTTGCAGTGTGGCTGGATATAAAATAATGTGCTTTTTCTTTTCCCTCTTTCAGCGAAGTTTTTGCTTGAGAAAAACACATTTGCTCAGCAAAACAAAAACCACTTTTAAGGGTTGTTTTTGGTGGAAATCGCTCTATGCCCCATCACCCGCTTGAGTGAAACCAGACTAAGAACTTCTGTCATGGCAGCTTTTCTGCTGGGAGCTGTGTTGCTAATTGTTCAACCTCAGATAGTGCCTTCCAGACCAGCTATAAATTCAAATGCTGAGACTTCTCAGTCTGTTCAGAGAGAGCTTTTAAAGAAAACATCTCAGAAAAATGACTTCAAGGAAAACATTCATTCTAATGGATCATGTCAGCAGCTGCCACAGACAATTATTATTGGAGTGAGAAAAGGTGGAACAAGAGCTTTGTTAGAGATGTTGAGTCTCCATCCAGATATTGCAGCAGCAGAAAGTGAAGTTCACTTCTTTGACTGGGAAGATCATTACAGGAATGGATTGCAGTGGTATATGAATCAAATGCCGTTCTCATATCCCCATCAGATCACCGTGGAAAAAACTCCAGCGTATTTCACATCACCTAAAGTGCCTGAAAGAGTTTATAGCATGAACCAATCCATGAGACTACTCCTTATCTTAAGAGACCCAAGCGAGAGAGTACTGTCAGATTATACCCAAGTGTTCTACAACCACATGCAGAAGCACAAGCCGTACCCGTCCATTGAGCAATTCCTGATAAAAAATGGTGAACTCAATGTGGACTACAAGGCAATAAACAGAAGCTTATACTACATTCACATGCAGAACTGGCTGAAGTATTTTCCTCTTGATCACATCCACATTGTAGATGGGGATAGACTAATCAAAGATCCCTTTCCAGAAATAGAAAAGGTAGAGAGATTTCTGAAGTTATCGCCACAGATAAATGCTTCAAACTTTTATTTCAATAAAACTAAGGGGTTCTACTGCCTAAGGGACAGTGGGAGAGAGCGCTGCTTACACGAGTCCAAAGGACGAGCACACCCGCAAGTGGACACCCGGTTACTCGAGAAACTGCAGGAATATTTCCATGAACCCAACAAGAAGTTTTTTGAGCTTGTGGGCAGAACATTTGACTGGCACACGTTTGTGGCAAGTTAGTGGTAAGCATCAGAACCTATGTTCCAGTGTACAGTTAGAAGATTTAAAAAGGGCATTTAAGCTATTATTTATTTGTAAAATCCATAAATACTTCTGTACAGTATTAGATTCACAATTGCCATATATACTAGTTATATTTTTCTACTTGTTAAATTTGAAAGCATTTTGTATTGTTTTTCATGGTTGTTAACATTGTGTATGATGTGTCTATATGAAGAAACTAAATTATTTCATTGCAGAAGGTGCTCTCTTGAGAATGTGTTGTCTTTTTAATAAATAAGAAATTCATTTCGACAGAACATTTCTGAATTATTTGAATACTTTGGCCTTCCTGGACTATTTTCTCTAATTGCTAATGAATATGCTAAATTTTACCTTTCCATTTTTCTTAGTTTAAAGTGTGGATTAATAATTTCTTTTCCATTTGAAAATACTGTTGTAGTTAACAAATTGTTCAATCCTGCTTTATGAAATTATTTCCTGTCAAAGTGGTGGTACTTACACATGTTGGGAAATGCACACCCAAAGGACAATGGAAGTCTCTGTGTAATTTGATATATTAACTGCTATACTTAACGTTCATATTCACTGTTATAACAAGTGCTCCTCAATTCTTTGGCAGTACAGTGCAGGTTTCATGGCAGATTTTTAAAGATTCTGTGGGGACCAGCTCATAAAATACAATTAGCTGTAGAAATATGGTCAACCTGAAAACTTCCAGTCTCTGAATGTATGCATACTTCATAAAGAGGTATGGTTGAGAGAATTTAAGCAATATAGAGACTTTTTCAAGGCTGCTTTTGACTGTTCCTACATTTCATAGCACATTTATGCTTTACCATCACTGAAAGTAAACACACCAGAAAAATTAGTTGGTCTACATTCCAGTAAGCAGCAGCTTCATTCATATAAATATTTCCACAATTGTCCCCTACTTAAGGCTGCTTTCTATGGGTTTTCAGTTGCTTCATGCAACTGTAGATTGCCTATGGACTACTATTTCTTTAATCTCCTTCCAACTACCACGATGCCAGGTCTTGATTAGATGTGTATTGTGGGATTAACCCAAATTCCAGGAATTTGCCTTGTTTTCCATCTGCTAAAAATGGAAGTCAGATGTTAGTACATTGGTAAAAACTGCAGTTATCCTTATTTACAGTGGTTATGATGTCTTGTTAACCATCAGTTTCTGGAGTTAAGAGTTAATCCAGTTTCCACACAAGGCTTCTCACAGTACTTTCAATCCAAGCTACTGATTTTTATTTCATGATCTTGAGTTTAGTTGTTGAATGTGCAATGGCAACACCCAGTAAATTTGAACTTTTAGCTGATTGTTACAATCCTTTATAAAATTTAAATGTAGATTCATTCATTTTTTTCTGGTGAGCTAGTGCAAACTTGGGCACTATAACAAGGTATCATCTGGATGCAAATATCCCATATTATGCCTTTTGCATGAAAATTTGCAGATGCTGTCCCTCTCTCCCACTCCTTGTGCACCTGCCCAAGCTGTATTCAACCTCAGAGAGGTTGGCGGTGTTTTATAAAACCTACAATGAAATGGTATTGTACTCAATAAAATATTTTCTGAATTGCATTTTTCCTTTCTGTTTTTTTTCTTCAGTTTCTAGTTTGGAAGACCAGAATTTAGGATTCAACTCCAGTTTAGATTTCAGCTAAATGTCACTTAAGAGCTTAGCTGCAGCCTGTTGCTATTGATATGAAAGTTGTTTGCTGCTGGGTCGTGTCTGAATGGTTCACTGCTGACCCAGAATATACAAAAGGAGGGTGGCAATAATGTCAAATCTTACATGAGGCAGATGCCAAAAATAACAGAATCATAGTACCATCATGTTTCTATTAAAGTTTTAGAAGAGAGAAATTCAGGGGATTTTGTGTAAGGTGGGGCAGTATTTTTTCCTACACTTACCCCATTACCTTGGTAACGTTATCTCTGCAGGAGCTGGCTGGACCAAAGTGATTTTGGCCAAGGCTTCCATTAGTGCCTTCCTGCAGTCTCAGATTAAGCTCATCACATTTACCAATGTTTTGCTGAGAAAGGAAGAATACTAGCAGGCACGTGACCAGGAATTGGAGAAGTACATGAAGGCAGGGCTACAACAAGTCCACCTGCAGCAGGTTGAACAGGGCATCAGTGTTGAATTGGAAATGCCTGTGCAATACTGACAGCTGATGGTGGTACTGAGGATACTTTTAGTGCCTTGTGCTGCTTGATACCAGTATTTTGCCTGTGTCTAAGCAGGTCACATGCACACATTTCCCCACATACAGTATGGCTTGTCTCTATAGAAAGAGAAGTGCAGCATGAAGCATTAGGTCACTATTACTGTTACAGTGCTAGGACCTCATAGAGCATTGTCTGTAGGATCCACAGGTGAAGTGACCACTTCAGGGGACATTCTGAAGCACAATATCACAGGACTCACATCCTCAACACCAAATTCAGAGGGTCTCACAGAAAGTATATCATACCCAATGCTTACACCTTGTGCAGGGATGGCATGACTGTACAATACCTTACCCTGGAGGTAGCTTTCTGTTAGCTGTGACGAACAATAAATCACACCCACACTAATAACAGTAATGTTTACCTGCCATAGGTTCAAGAGTTCAAGAGTTCCAATTCTGAAAACTGTTCAGAGTGTGAATGTTCTGTTTAATCAGAGCAACATTCATTTTCCATACTAGTTACTGTACTTAAATATATTTACTAGGCTTTTCTAAAGAAGTGTTAGACAATAACAAAAGCCATCAGAAAGTCAAGAGAGAATGAAAGAAGAAGGCCAAAGCACGTTCCATTTGGGACTCTAGAAAAATTAATAATGACCTTTGAAGGCATATCATATGTGTTCATAAAAGAAAAAAGTCCCTGAAATACCTTTCCAGTGTTATGCAACACAGGTATTTATTTCTGTAAAGCTCTACTAGCTCAGGTTTAAAGTACAACCACCTGGGTGTTGCTCCAGAGACATGTTTTCTCAGGGCACCTAGCCAAGCCTGTGATCACTCTTGAAAACTAAAATAAACACAAGACTTTATGAGAATTCAAAGCCGGGCACTCCCCTTGAGTACAAAAAGAAATGCCATCCAAATAATCATTCAGGGTGGCACTGCAGGACTGTCTTGCCCTTTGCGTCACAACACAGATTAGTGTGAGACTTTGAAAACCAGATATTGTACCTGCAGAGGACAAAGATTAGACTATAATGATTATTCCAGGAACAATGGGAACAATGCTGGAAGATTATGGAAAGGGAAAAGAACACCAAAGCTATTATTTCATCAAGAGTATTTCTACATGTACTGCTGATGCTGCATGATCTTGTTACATGTGCTTTGCTCTTCCTTGTATATTTTTCCTGCTGTTACAGGTGAAAAAACATCTACTGTGCTTGAATAAATCAACATTTCTTTGGAACATATCATAAAAAAATCTATCAATTTTTAAATCTTGCTGCATTCATTGATAAGTGTGTGAAACTTAACACTATAGAATATTTTACTTGAAAACTTTTTTAGTTTGGTTCTCAAAGCTGATAATTTTGTGTTTCCTTGTCTACTGCCATTTTCAGAATCTGCAGAAAGCCAGGATTTCATTCCCTGTTGTCATTCAAACAGATTTCAAATGCCAAAGAGAAATATGGGTTATGGAATATGGCATATGGCATATTTCCATGTATCTTCTGTTTTATCTAGCATGGCTGACCATGTATTTAAAAAATATCACAGATGTACTCTATGAGTAAGAGACTGTACATCAAAACTATTTCTCTTAGGAATGTTCCTTCTCCATTCTTTTTTCTGAAGTCTGTGACTTGAAAGTCTTAATTATGACCACATTGTGAATGAAGTTTTTCAGAAGTATCTTATTAGATGTTTTCTAATACAGTAACAAAGTAATAAAACTAAAATAAGGCAAAAGTATTAAATTAAACTAAATTAAGTCAACAAAATGTGTTGAACTTGATACTAGGTATATACCTGCTGAAATAGTTGCAAGTATGTGCCTCTACAGATGTAACAATATTTTCTCATTTTTATCCCAGCAACTTTTATTTATACAACTCTATCTAATGCCCAGTTATGCTCAAAATATTGTATTTTCAATATTAATTCCTTCACTTTTCAATTGATTGGAGAGGCCAGTTATGGGTGGAAGCCATGCAAATATCATGTGAATGGAAAAAAAATTCATTCATAATTTCCTTACAAAAAATAAATGAGATTGTATTTATGTCTTCTAGAATTTTAGCAGAGAACAGTACTCTTTTCCTGCAACAATAACCCATCCACAGTAAATTTTCTACTTAAATACCACACAACAGTTGATACAGTTTTTAAGTTAATAGTGCAATAAACTCAACAGTGATGCTGCAGATTTTAAATGCCTTCTGGGAAGTATAAAATATGCAAGTCAGGGTGGGGAGCAGCTGGATGCATAGGAACATCTGATCTCATTGGTCTGAGAAAGCTTTTTTTTTCTCTTTTTAATGGTAAGGAACATGAAATTTTTGGCTTGGAGATAACTTTATGTTTTCTATGAAAGCAATGTCTTCCTTTAACTTCCAAGTCAATAATCCTATCATAATTACATCACCTTTATACTCAAGTATTTATATTATTCTCTGCCAAAATGTATTTTAAGAGCCAAACCCCCGATAGCAGGTGCATCCCTTAGTATAAGAAAAAAACATTGTAATACAACTCTGACACATGGCTTCAATTACAAAGGCACATTGCCTTGCACAAAGGAGTATTCTGAAACTGATGGCAAAATTCTTCTTTTCTTAATTTGGATGAAGTTTACAGAAACAGGAACATTTGTACATTCACAGAAAACAGGACAACTAAGAAGCCCTCCCCTCCTTGGTTTACAATCAATCAGTCAGCAGTATTTCATCAATAAAGATCAGGCCAGCCTTTAGGATCCAGCACAGTTCAGTCCAGGTAACTCTCAAAAGAAAGAGTTCTTGCAGAAATTCTTAACCCAACACTTTTCAGGGTATTTCCTATTTGTGTAATTTGTGTAATTCTTCTTTC